TGGCCCTGGGGAGGGTGGTGCGGCCGTGGTGCGCCTGCATTGCGCTGTTGTCCTCACGGGCCTGCGCACACTCAAGGCTCTGGACGGACTCCCAACACTGTGCCCTGGCCTGGATCTGGCGCCCTTTGAGCAGCGGCCAGAGAAGCCCCCAGCACCCGCTGCCCGGGCCCCTGCCGCACCTGCTGCGCCGGGCCCGCGTCTATAAGCGGGGCAGCAGGGGCCGCAGGCGTGGGCTGGCGGGGCAGGATGGGCTGGGGCAGCCGCCGCTACTGCTGCTGCTGCTGCTCCTCCTGCTGCTGGCGGCCGGCCACGTGCTGCTGGACAACTACTACACGCAGCCGCTGTGCACGCCGTCGCAGAGCCAGCTGCTCAGCGGCCGCTACCAGATCCGCACGGGGCTGCAGCACGAGGTCATCTGGCCCTGCCCGCCCAGCTGCCTTCCTCTGGAGGAGAAGCTCCTGCCCCAGCTGCTCAAGGACCATCTCCGCGGCGCTGGACACGAAGATGGCGCCGAGAGGAAGCTAGACGGGCGGAGTCCGAGTTGTTTACAAGGAAACTTGACTGGGCGCAGGCACCCGGCGAGATGACGTCAGTGCGTGGACTCTATGGAAACCGAGCGCACGATAGGTAACCTTTAAAACGATTGGTTGGTTTCTCTTCTCCTCCCCTATAGCTTTGTGGTTTTTAGCTTTAAAACAGGCTTACTGCGCAGTAATAAACGAGTTCCTGCTTGACTCGACTACCACTGGGTCTGATTGTCTCTGGGATCAGGAGGCTGGGGAGCGGGCGAGCGTCGCACTTACCTTTCCTTGGACCCAGTCCATCCTCGTTCGGGTGGACTGAGACCCTGCAGTTGCCCAGTTTTCCTAATGATTTTGCTAATGTGCTGTGAAAGACTAGAAATTCGAGATTGTGGATTGGTGTGTTTATGTAACAGCAACATTTGAAGATATTGGTAGTTAGTATCCTCGTAAGGAAGACTGTCCTCCAAATCTGAAGTTGCAAAGTTATTGGAATGACTAAAAAACAATGACAATTCATGGCTTTTTAGATTTTTGGTATTTGTTAAGAATTGTGTATGTTAAGAATTATGTATGTCTGTGTCATGATTCTTAACACCAAAAATTCTCACACCGGCCCTGTGGCATAGCAGGTAAAGCCGCTGCCTGCAGTGCAGGCGTCTCATATGGGCGATGGTTTGAGTCCCAGCTGCTTCACTTCCTATCCAGCTCTCTGCTGTGGCCTGGGAAAGCGGTAGAAGATGGTCCAAGTCCTTGGGCCCTGCACCCACGTGGGAGACCCAGAAGCAGCTCCTGGCTCCTGGCTCCTGGCTTCAGATGGGCGCAGCTCCAGCCATTGTGGCCAACTCGGGAGTAAACCAGCAGATAGAAGGCCTCTTTCTCTCTCTCTGCCTCTGCCTCTCCTTTTCTCTCTGTATAACTGACTTTCAAGTAAATAAATAAATCTTTAAAAAAGAGGTATCTATTTCTACCGAAATTCTTTCCAGACCATGAATTATTTTCCTAATTTCACTGAACTTTTTTAAGCTGTATTCTCTTGTTTCTCACCAAGTTTATATAAGAGAATTATTTTGAATTCCTTTTCAGGCATTTCCTAGACTTGGTCTGTTTAGGGTCTGTTACTGAGCAGGGAGCTCGGGGTGCAGAGCCCTCCACCATACAGCACGCGCTTCTGCAGGTCTTGTACCAGCTCTGGGTGCAGCCAGTCCCAGCCACACCAGGCCCACTCTGAGATGATGGGAACATGTCTGGGGACACGGGATCTCAGAAGACAGAGGCTCAAGGGTCCTGAGGGCAAGGGGCAGGGGGCAGAAGGGGGTCCTGGCTGGAGGGGAAAGGAGTCCTGGTGAGGAGGGCACTGGGGAGTGGCTGGGGTGGGAGTGGTTCTGTCCACCGGTCTTCTTCCAGTGACCGCAATGCCCTCTGGCCAGTCCCTGGGGACCCTCCCCATATCTCACTTTGAGCCCTTGAGGATGAGGGACACCCCAGGTCATGGAGGGACAGGCTGTGGGACTCCTACACCAGGCCTGCAGCCCCTGATCCTTGGCTGCCGTAACGGAAGCCCGGGACCCTCTGTGTGATTCTGGATGGACCCTCCTTTCCCCGATGCCTGATCTTGGCAGCTCTACTGCTTGGGATCAGCCTGTGAGCAGGCCTGGTCCCTGGAGGGGTTGCCCACGGCCTCAGGCAGGAAGATGGTGAGTTCCCACACATGAGGCTTCCTCCTGGGCTCGGCTGTCTCCTGTTGCTAGGGCCCTGGTGTGAGGGCAGCTGGGTGTCTCTGGTGGCACCGCTCCATTTCTGTCTCAATGGGGCCTTTTCCCTGCCCCCCCCGCGCTACTGTGGGCCCCGCCCACCACGCTGATCATTGCTGCTCCCATCACCTAGCCTTGTACACGGGGCTGTCTGGGGGTGATCTGTCCCTCTGCCTGGTATCCAGGATGCAAACCTGCCTCCTGCTATTCCAGACACTGGGGAAACCTGCCTTTGCCCACCCCGATAAGCCCACCGTGTGTGCTGCTCAAGCACCTGCTGCACATGGCCGCCCCAACTCCCTTCCTCAAGCGTCTTCTGCCACCTCTCTGAGCTGTCCTGCCCCGCCCAGGGTTCAGGGGGCTCAACTCCGCCAGACTCCTTCACAGACACCAGGAAGAGGCTTGCTAGGGGAGGAATCGTGTGCCCTGCAGGCTCACATGTGGAACTCTACCTGCCAGGACCTCAGAACATGACCCAACTTGGAAAGCACAAGGCTTAGCAGATGTTCAGGCTCTGGGAGTCCACACTGGGTGAGGGCAGGCGTCCAGCCTAACATGGCCCTCATGGAGGCGTCCACAGGAGACACCGACGAGGTCAGGCAAGGATCGAGGGTGCTTCTACATGCCCAGGGGCACCAAGACAGCCAGGAGAGCACCAGAGGCCACAAGAGAGGCCTGGGACAGTCTCCCTGCTGACATCCAGAGCCCAGGCCCCACTTGGCAGAGCTGGCTGAGAACACGTCTCTGCGGTGGAAGGTGCCCCGTCCTGGGTGTTGCTCGGCGGGCTAAGCCGACTGACGCGGGGCGGGCCAGGCCATCGGCCCCACGGCCTGCAGCTTCCTCCCCAGCCCAGGCCACGTGGGCTCCTGGCTGAACTGGCCGCTCGCTGAGCTCTCACCCCCCCTCCACCAGCAGGCCGGGCGGTGCTGCCATGAGCTCCATTCCCACCACACGAGCGACAGCCCGGGCAGCGCCCCAGGCCCACGGGGTGTTTGCTGTGCGGCTCGCACTCGCTGCTCAGGGCCAGCGCAGGGTGCAGCAGGGACTCACCAACCCGCCCCGACTCGGCTGGCACGTTTACTGGAGGCCTCTGAGCCTGACCGTGGCAGTGGGGCCCGAGCAGGCTCCAGGCTGCCCCCTGCACCCTGGGCTTGCCGCTCCGGGACCCCTGGTGGGCACCTTCCCAGATGTGCTCCCACCGTGCCTCCTTGGGGCTCTGGGCTCACGCGGTCACTCTCTGCCTTCTCTCCTCCCCGCCTCCTGCCTCCTCCAAGGCTCTCAACCCTCCTGCTGGCCAGGATCTCCCTAGGCCTGTGAGCCACCTCTGTGGTTTGTGCTGTGATCCAGAGAGCCCCCACCTTCTTCTCTGGGGCTCCTGTCTCTGAGCTGAACCCAGCCAGTGTCCCCACTTCCACCCCTCAGGCCTTGTTTCCTGGCCTCTCTGCCTGGGACAGCTGGGACTTCTGCCCCTCCGCCCCGTCTCGTGTGTCCACCTAACCATTGTTTTGGGCTGCTTCATCCTTTGACCGTCCCCTCCAATGAGAGGTGTTCAAGGTAGACCTTTGGGAAGTGATGGCCACTCACCCTCTCAGCCCTCTCACCACCAGAGTACCAGGGGCGTCCACCTGTGAACCTGCACAGCCCTCAGTGGACCCCGGCCCGCTGGCCGCAGGCTCAGCCTGTCTCGGGGACCAGGGGCACTGCCGCTGTTGAAGCTCCGTGGGGCTGCTCGGGGGGGGATTGCGTGCCCTGTGCCTGCTGGGGGGATGTGTGTGCCCTGTGCCTGCTGGGGGGGATTGCGTGCCCTGTGCCTGCTGGGGGGGAGGATGTGCGTGCCCTGTGCCTGCTGGGGGGATTGCGTGCCCTGTGCCATGCTGCTGGGGGGGGGATTGTGTGCCCTGTGCCTGCTGGGGGGATGTGTGTGCCCTGTGCCTGCTGGGGGGGATTGTGTGCCCTGTGCCTGCTGGGGGGATGTGCGTGCCCTGTGCCTGCTGGGGGGGATTGTGTGCCCTGTGCCTGCTGGGGGGATGTGCGTGCCCTGTGCCTGCTGGGGGGGATTGTGTGCCCTGTGCCTGCTGGGGGGGAGGATGTGCATGCCCTGTGCCTGCTGGGGGGGATTGCGTGCCCTGTGCCTGCTGGGGGGGAGGATGTGCATGCCCTGTGCCTGCTGGGGGGATTGCGTGCCCTGTGCCATGCTGCTGGGGGGGGATTGTGTGCCCTGTGCCTGCTGGGGGGGATTGCGTGCCCTGTGCCTGCTGCTGGGGGGGATTGTGTGCCCTGTGCCTGCTGGGGGGATTGCGTGCCCTGTGCCTGCTGGGGGGGATGTGTGTGCCCTGTGCCTGCTGGGGGGATTGCGTGCCCTGTGCCTGCTGGGGGGATTGCGTGCCCTGTGCCTGCTGGGGGGGGATTGCGTGCCCTGTGCCATGCTGCGAGCACCCAGGAGCCTCCTGCCAAGTTAGTTCCTGCACACTCAGCGCTCCACGAGGGTCTGGACAAGACTGCGAGGTGACGGGGTCGCTGGGGAGGTGGCAGAGCCCCTGCCGGGCACACCAAGGCCCCCGAGGCCTGAGCCCAAGTAGCCTCTTCCCCTGTGAACCTCAGCCCTGGGCTCCGCCTGCCCCCTCCTAAGTGGGCCCCCCGCCATGATTTTCGTATTTGTACTTGGGGTTCCCTGCAGACATCCACACAGCTTTGTGCGGAGACAAAAGCCTCACAAGAGAGCAGCTTTGTGAGCTGGGCCGCCCGCATTTATTTCAGGGTGACTGACAGCTACACAGCACACAGCACACAGCGCGTGGGGCACACCCTCACTGTCACTCCACAGGGCAGAGGGTCCTGGGCTGGTCTGGAACGAGGCCTGCGCTTTAGAGCTCAAAGCTGGCTGGCGATATGGGGAAGATGCAGGCCCCAGAGTGCAGGCCACGCGAGCAGGGCCACGGCGGGCTTGTCTCTTGGCCTCCGACATCCTTCTCAGGTCACTTCACCTGCAGGCAACAGAGGTGGCGTGAGATGCTGTTCATGTGTTGGGAATGGACGTGGGGGCACCCCTGGAACGGACATCCACCCGAGTGGCTCTGCCCTGCCCCCCAGCCCTGCCTGAGGCCGGCTACCTTGAACAGAGTGACCGTGGTGCTGTAGAAGAGGCTCAGCAGGAACAGGACGATGAAGGTGGAGGCGGTGGTCCACAGGTTCTCAAAGCCCTCCTCCTCGGCGCCCACCTCCCCTTCTGCAAGGGCACAGGTGGAGGCAGGGGGTCAGGCTCAGTCACACCCACATGGGCTGGGGCCTAGGACCCCATCCCAGTCATCAAAGCCACCCTTGGCCCAGGCTGTGCTGTGCTCCTGAGGAGGGGGCGGTGCACAGAACACCCGTCTTGCAGCCTGAGGACTCCTGGGGTGGTCTGAAGCCAGGGGTGGGGCTGCCCTGACCCTTGTCCCGGGAGCCCCGAGTGACAGACAGAACACAGCAGAAGCAGTGCACAGACACCTGCGAGGAGGGTACGCCAGCGGCAAGACTCTTGGCTGCTTGTGCCCAGGGCTCGCTCTCCTTGAGGACAACCAGGGCCCCTAGGGCTGAGAGGCAGGGAGGGGGGCTTCCTGTCCCCTGTGGCTTGGGAAGGACAATGGCAGGTTTGGGCCTGAAGCTGCCCCCTCCCTGGGTCCTCGGCAGGGCCCGTGAGGGACACCCTGGCTGCCCAGGTCTTTCTGACACACGGCTCTGGGCATGGATGGACCCCTGAGGGTGACAGCAGGATGGGGACACTTTAAGGCCTGTGGTCTCTGCATATATGAGCCCTTGGAGCTCAGGCCCCAAAATGTGTGAATGTGGGAGGGTCCAGCAGGCAGCCCGGGGAGCCTGGAGGCCCCTTACCACGGGGCTCCTGTCCTCCCCTCTCTGGACAGCTGCCTTCTGCCCTCTGATTGCTGGGCTGAGGGCAGGGCAGGTTCGTGGGGGCCAGTGCTTGAGGCTTCCAGCCAGTGAAGGAGCCCCTAAGGTGGCTTCCTGGCCTTGGCATGTTCAGACACTGCCTGCTCTGTGCTGATGGCCTAGGCTCTGGTCTCACAGGTGGGTGCCAGGGGGCCTGCTGCCTCCACGGGGGTGTTGAATGAGGAGGGGACGCTTGGCCCCACGCCTGGGCCTTTAGCTGTTGCAGTGGCCAAGCCCGACGCGACATTCTGAGCCCTGTGCACTGGGCCTGGGGACCATTGCCTTGGTCAGAGTCTAGGCTGAGCCCAGCTGAGGAAGCTTCCAAGCAGACACAGGACAAACAGAGCCTTGGGCAGGAGTCCTGGTGCCAGCTCGGCACAGGGAGTGGCTGCAGAGGCACCAAGGCCCTGGTGCATGTGTGCGTGTGTCCGCGTGTCCACCTGCACGGGAGGCCGTGTTCACACCTGTGGGTGTGTGGGCCTGTGTCTGCCCATGTCTGTGCATGTGTACGATTCCACATGCATCCATGTGAATGTGCTATGTGTGTCCATGACTGCATGGCCTTGTGTGTTCCTGCCCATATTATGTGTGTCATCTGTACATGTGTCTGCATATGTCCTTATTTGTGTCCATGTGTGTTTCTGGGCATGTCCATGCAGGTGGGTATCCGTGTGTGTGTCTTTGTGTGTGTGCATGTGCACATGTGCATACCCATGTCTGTATCTGTCCATCTGTATGTTTGCATGTGTCCATCCATGCGTACCCCTCCTGTGTGTGCCCGCATCTGCATACATGTGTATCCATGTTTCTTCGTGCATGTGTGTGTCCATGTGTTGCCTGTGCCCACGTGGCTGTTCCTCTGGAGCAGCTGGAGGAGAGCTGTGCACAGACTCTTCCCACCATGAGCCAAGGAGCACAGAGGCTTCTGCAGGCCACTCAGAGGTGGGCAGGTGGGTGGGGGCAGGGCAGGCACAGCACAGTCACGGGCCCAGCAGGCAAGAGCATCGCACACTCAGGACCAGCATCTTTTGAACGGATCTTTTTATTTCTAAGTTTTAAAAATGCAACATCTCAGCCCCACTGACAGGGTTAGTTTGCATGCACACACACACAGCGCCTGGTCACCCAGCGTGGTCAGTAGCAGGTGCTGGCCGTGTCAGACATGATCAGGGACACATTGTACAAGGTGGGTTTACCAGTGGACTTGTCCACGGTCCTCTCGGTCACCATGTGCGGCAGGGCCTCGTGGCCCACGACGCAGGTGAACGTCTCCCCGGAGTTCCAGTCCTCCTCGGTCACGGTCAGGGTGCTGTGGGTGAAGTACAGGCCCGGGGCCTGGGGCTCGGGCGCTGGGGCGCTGGTCACGTACTTGTCTGAGGACAAGGGCTGCCCCCTCTGCTGCCACTGCACGAACACATCTGCCGGCGAGAAGCCCTTGACCAGGCAGGTCACGGTGGCCGACTCTCGCAGGACCAGCTGCTCCCGGGCTGGCGGCAGCACGTACACCGCCGGGGGGTGCTTGGCCACCTCTGTGGGCAGAGAGAAGGTGGTGAGCCCGGGCCGGGGGAGGCCAGCAGGGAGTGGAGGCGGGCGAGGGCAGCAGGCGGCTGAGCCTACCCCTGGACTTGGAGATGGTGTGCTTCAGCGGGAAGGGCAGGTCGGCGTGGGTCACGGTGCATGTGAACTGCTCCCCAGACTCCCAATCCTCCGCGCACACGCTGGCCTCGCCCATGGCGCTGAAGGTGGCGTTGGGGTGGCTCTCGGTGATGTTCATGTGGGTGTCCAGGGCTTTGCCGTTATGGCTTGCCCAGGAGATGTTGAGGCTGCCATAGGTGGTCAGGTCTGTGACCAGGCAGATCAGCCTGGCTGACTTGCTGAGGAAGGTGTCGGCGAACGAAGGGGCGATGGGGAAGACCTGGATGCCTGGGGATGGGGCTGGGGTGGGGGGAAGCTGGTCTCAGGCGGTGGGTGGATGTGCAGTTGGGGGAAGGGGTGGTTTCACCCAGAGGGCAGCAGGGGGACCCTCAGACCCCACCTGGCCCTGCCGTGCCAGCTGCTTCCCCACCCCGCTCCCGCCCGTGGCTTCCGTGTGCCGGGAAGCTGAGGCTCAGGGTCTGCAAACCCGTGAGGACGCCTGTCCTGGCCTGGGGACTGGACACTCACTCGTGCTGCACTCGGAGGACATGGACACGTTCTTATCGAAGAAGATGCCCCTGTGGTCCACGCGGCAGGTGTACAGGCTCTGGCTCAGCCAGTCGCTCTCGGTGATGGTCAGCATGCTGCTGATGCTAAAGGTCGCAGGCCCAGCCCCTTTGGTTTCAGCCTCCACCGGCTTGGTGAGGACGCCAGACTCCACCTTCTGCCCATCGCGCAGCCAGGACACGCTGATCTGTTTGGGGCTGAAACCTGTGGCCTGGCAGATGAGCCTGGACTTGCGTGTGCCAGAGCCGCTGAAGGAGTCTCGAGGTGGGATGAACACGCTCACGTTGGGGGGCAGCTCTGAGTCCACTGCAGTATGGGGCCGAGATGTCAGCCCGGCCCGGCCCAGGTCCCCACCGCTCCCTCCCAGCCACACCGGACCTTCTCCATCATGCGGGAGGCCTCGCGGCTCACCGGGAAAGGACACTCGCAGGTCTCTGTTGCTGTTGTCGTGCTGGACTTTGCACACCAGGTACTCCTCTGTGCCCTGGAGGACATCCTTGGAGGGCACCAGCACCTGCGAGGTGGCCATATACTTGTCCCCTCTCTTCACCACCGGGAAGGTCCTGACGGTCCGGCTGCTGATCTCAGAGTTGTTCTTGAAGCTCCAGGAGAAGGTGATGGAGCTGGGCAGAAAGTCCCGCGCCAGGCAGCCCATGGCCACCAGGTTCCCATCGGTCAGGGCGCCCTCGCAGGAGACGAGCGGGTACAGAGTTGGAGATGACAGGCTCACTGAGGGCCCAGGGGAGCAAAGAGAGAAAGGGGAGGTGTGAAAAGCTGTTTTCCTGTGTCCCTGCCAGTCCAGGGCAAACAGAGCTCCGACGGGTCTCCACCTACCCTCATGGCACTGTGACGTGCTCCCCCAAGGCTGAGCCCTCCTACAGCCTCCATGGCCTGGCTGGACATGGCCAACAGGGCAGGGGAGGCCACCCTGGGCTTCTGCACTGTGGGAGCAGGTCTGGTGCTACTGCTGTGGGTGTTGTTCTGACTGCAGCCCACCCTGAACTTGGGAACATTGTGTCCAGGCTCCCCTGCTCAGAAGGATCCGGCTCAGGCTTCCGGCTCAGGTTTGATCAACTCTCCTTCCCTCTAGGACATGGGGGCTGTGGGACTGGCACCTCAGCCTTGAACCCAGGGAATCGGAGGTCTGGGATGCCTGTAGCCACACAAGGATGGCATCCAGCAGGGATAGGAGCCCCTCCCCTTGAAGTCACCCTGGACAGACAACTCAGGCTGATGTGGGAGCCACAAAGTGAGAGCGAGTGTGAGACCGATGTGTGAGCCAGTGTTTTGCCCCGCAGGCCAACCAACTATGCACACCACGCATCACAGCCAACAGGGAGGGCTTCACATGGTGGCTCAGGTTGGGCCAGACCAGCCCAGCCCAGCTAAGTCCAGCAGTGCACAGCACAGCTAGCTCAGCCTCGTCGGGCTACGGTGGCCCAGAATACATCACCCTGGCAGAAAGCTGTTCACTGACTGCTCAGCCAGTCCAGTCCAGTCCAGACCAGCTAAGCTCAGCTAGCCCAGTCCAGTGTAGCACAACTCAGTACAGCTCAGCTTAACTCAGCATAAACCTACCTAGCCCGAATCAGTCCAGCTTTGCATAGCCCCTCCCTGTCCAGCCCAGCTCAGTCCAGCCAAGGTCAGTTCATCTCAGCCTTGATGTGCCCAGCCCAGCCCAGCTCAGCCCAGCCCGGCCCTGTCCCCTCTGCCCAGCCCAATCAGCTCAGTGCAGCTAAGCTCAGCCCAGCCCTGGCCAGCCCAGCTCACCCAAGCTTAACCGTGCCCAGCACAGCCCAGCTCAGCTCAACCAGGCTCAGCCAAGCCCAGCCCAGCCCAGCTGAGCTATGCCAAGCTCAGCACAGCCATCTGAGTTATGCCCCGACCAGCCAAGCTCTGTCCAGTTCAGCCCAGATCAGCCCAGCCCAGCCTAGCCCAGCTAAGCTAAGACCAGTCCAGTTCACCTCTGTACAGCTCAGCCCAGCCCAGCTATGCCCTGCCCAGCCCAGCCCAGCTAAGCTCAGTCCAGCTCAGCTATGTATAGTCAAGGTCAGCTCAACCCAGCTCAATCCAGCTCAGCTCAGCTCAGCTCTGCCCAGCTCAGCCCAACTCAGCCCAGCCCAACTCTGTCCAGCTCAGTACAGCCGAGCTATGCCCTGCCCTACCCAGCCCGGCCCAGCCAAGCCCAGCTCGGCCCAGGTCAGCTCAGCCCAGCTCAGTTCAGCCCAGGTCAGCTCAGCCTAGGTCAGCTCAGCCCAGCTCAGCCCGGCTCAGCCAGGCCCAGCCAAGCCTATCTCAGTCCAGCTCAGCCCAGCTCAGCTCAACCCAGGCCAGCACAGCTCGACCCAGGTCAGCTCATCCCAGCTCAACCCAGGTCAGCTCAGCCCAGCTCAGCCCAGTCTAGCTCAGCCCAGGTCAGCTCAGCCCAGCTCAGCCCAGCTCAGCCCAGCTCAGCCCAGCTCAGCCCAGGTCAGCTCAGCCCAGCACAGCCCAGCTCGACCCAGCTCAGCTCTGCCTAGCTCTGCCCATCTCGGCCCAGCTCGGCCCAGCTCAGCTCAACCCAGATCAGCCCGGCTCAGCCCAGCTCAGCTCAACCCAGGTCAGCTCAGCCCAACCCGGCCCAGCTCAGCCCAGCTCAGCTCAGGTCAGCTCAGCCCAGCACAGCCCAGCTCGACCCAGCTCAGCTCTGCCTAGCTCTGCCCATCTCGGCCCAGCTCAGCCCAGCCCAGCCCAGCCCAGCTCAACCCAGCACAGCTTAGCCCAGCTCAGCCCAGCCCAGCTCGGCCCAGCTCTGCCCAGCTCAGCCCGGCTCAGCACAGCTCAGCTCAGCTTAGCACAGCTCTGCCCGGCTCTGCTCAAACCAGCTCAGCCCGGCTCAGCTCACTCAGCCCAGCTCAATCCAGCTCAGCCCAGGTCAGCTCAGCCCAGCTCGGCCCAGCTCAGCCCAGCTCAGCTCAGCTCAGCTCAACCCAGGTCAGCCCAGCTCAGCCCAGCTCAGCCCAGCTCGGCACAGCTCTGCCCAGCCCAGCCCAGCCCAGCCCAGCTCAACCCAGCTAAGCTTAGCCCAGCTCAGCCCAGCCCAGCTCGGCCCAGCTCAGCCCAGCTCAGCCCAGCTCAACCCAGCTCAGCTCTGCCCAGGTCAGCTCAGCACAGCTCAGCACAGCTCTGCCCAGCTCTGCCCAGCTCTGCCCAGCTCTGCCCAGCTCAGCTCAACCCAGCTCAGCCTGGCTCAGCCCAATCTAGCTCAACCCAGGTCAGCTCAGCCTAGCCCGGCCCAGCTCGGCCCAGCTCGGCCCAGCTCGGCACAGCTCAGCCCAGGTCAGCTCAGCCCAGCTCAGCCCGGCTCAGCCCAGTCTAGCTCAGCCCAGGTCAGCTCAGCCCAGCTCGGCCCAGCTCAGCTCAGCGCAGCTCGGCCCAGCCCAGCCCAGCTCAGCCCGGCCCAGCTCGGCCCATCTCGGCCCAGCTTGGCCCAGCTCAGCCCAGCTCAGCTCAGCTCAGCTCAGCCCAGGTCAGCTCAGCTCAGCTCAGCCCAGCTCAGCACAGCTCTGCCCAGCCCAGCCCAGCCCAGCCTAGCTCGGCCCATCTCGGCCCAGCTTGGCCCAGCTCGGCCCAGCTCAGCTCAGCGCAGCTCGGCCCAGCCCAGCCCAGCTCAGCCCAGGTCAGCTCAGCCCAGCTCAGCACAGCTCTGCCCAGCCCAGCTCAGCCCGGCCCAGCTCGGCCCATCTCGGCCCAGCTTGGCCCAGCTCAGCCCAGCTCAGCTCAGCTCAGCTCAGGTCAGCTCAGCCCAGCTCAGCCCAGCTCAGTTCAGCTCACTCGGCCAAGCTCAGCTCGGCCCTGCCCGGCTCTGCCCGGCCCTGCCCGGCTCTTCCCAGCTCTGCCCAGCTTAGCTCAGCTCTGTACAGCCCAGCTCAGCCCAGCTCAGCTCAACTCAGCTCAGCCCGGCTCAGTCCAGTCTAGCTCAGCCCAGCTCAGCCCAGCCCAGCTCGGCCAGCTCGGCCCAGCTCAGCTCAGCTCTGCACAGCTCAGCCCAGCTCAGCTCAGCACAGCCCAGCTCAGTTCAGCCCAGCCTAGTTCAGCCCAGCTCAGCCCAGCTCAGCCCAGCCCAGCTCAGCCCAGCTCAGCCTAGCTCTGCCTAGCTAAGCCCAGCTCAGCCCAGCTCAGCTCAGCCCAGCCCAGCTCAGCCCAGCTCAGCCCAGCCCAGCTCAGCCCAGCTCAGCCCAGCCCAGCTCGGCCAGCTCGGCCCAGCTCTGGCCAGCTCGGCCCAGCTCTGCCCAGCTCAGCTCAGCTCTGCACAGCCCAGCTCAGCCCAGCTCAGCTCAGCCCAGCCTAGTTCAGCCCAGCTCAGCCCAGCTCAGCCCAGCCCAGCTCAGCCCAGCTCAGCTCTGCCTAGCTAAGCCCAGCTCAGCCCAGCTCAGCTCAGCCCAGCTCAGCCCAGCTCAGCCCAGCTCAGCCCAGCTCAGCCCAGCTCGACCCAGCTCAGCTCAGCCCAGCTCAGCCCAGCACAGCCCAGCTCGACCCAGCTCAGCTCAACCCAGCTCAGACCAAAACAGTCCAGCTCAGCCCAATCTAGCTCAGCCCAGGTCAGCTCAGCCCAGCTAGGCCCAGCCCAGCTCAGCCCAGCTCAGCCCAGCTCAGCCCAGCACAGCCCAGCTCAACCCAGCTCAGCTCTGCCTAGCTCTGCCCATCTCGGTCCAGCTCGGCCCGTCTCGGCCCAGCTCAGCCCAGCTCAGCCCAGCCCAACTCAGCTCAGCCCAGCTCAGCCTAGCTCAGCCCAGCTCAGCCCAGCTCAGCCCAGCACAGCCCAGCTCGACCCAGCTCAGCTCTGCCTAGCTCTGCCCATCTCGGCCCAGCTCAGCCCAGCTCAGGTCAGCTCAGCCCAGCTCAGGCCAGCTCAACCCAGCTCAGCCCGCTCAGCCCAGTCTAGCTCAGCCCAGGTCAGCTCAGCCCAGCTCAGCCCTGCTCAGCCCAGCTCACCACAGCTCTGCCCAGCCCAGCCCTGCTCAGCCAGGCTCAGCTCGGCTCAGCCCAGCCCAGCTTGGCCCAGCTCAGCTCAGCTTGGCTCAGCCCGGCTCTGCCTAGCTCTGCCCAGCTCAGCTCAGCCCAGCTCAACCCAGCTCAGACCGGCTCAGCCCAGTCTAGCTCAGCCCAGTGCAGCCCAGCGCAGCCCAGGTCAGCTCAGCTCTGCTCATCCCAGCTCAGCTCAGCCCAGCTCTGCCCATCTCAGCCCAGCTCAGCCCAGCTCAGCTCGGATTAGCTCAGCTCCAGCCAGCCTAGCTCAGCTCACCCCTGCCTTGGTGAATCTGTGTTCAGTTTTGAAAGCCCAGTGCAGAATGTGGCCATAAAGCGTCCCTGGCTGTCTCAGCTAAAACTGTCCCATTCCAGGACCCCGCACGACCTGCTCTGTTCTCATCTCCTTCGGGCATCTCTCACTGCACCTGGCCACCCTGGCTGGATGTTCCCTGGCGCTCTGCGCTCACTGAGCATCCTGAGATTTAGAGTAAAAACTTGGGAGAAAAGTTCCCTAACTCCAGAGCCCGCCGAGCAGCCCTTGGCGTGAACCCCTCCTCCCCAATTCTAAATAAGCCTGGACTCTCTGTTTCCTCCAGAGAAAAACTGTCCCTAAAAATGACCCCAAAGTCTGCATCTGATCAAGGTCGCCGCTCACAGTTCAGCTGTCAACTGAGCCAAGTCCAAGGGCACCTGACAGGCGGCAAGCCGCGACCAATCTGAGCAGAGACAAGCTCAGTGGCAGGCTGCACGAGATACCCGTGACCAGCCCATGCCTGCGTTTCCTCGAAGCACCTTAGGGAAGACAGGTTGTCTTTCAGGCACCAGGCAAAGGTGGGTTCCCCTTCAGAGGCAAAGAAACATCAAACCCCAACTTTCCATAGAAGCAGATCTGTGGCAGAGCAGCTGCCCCTCTCACCATGTGCAGTGGCTGGTCACCGGCACGTCCTGCGGGTCCTCCAAGTCCACTCCAAACAGGAATTCCTGACTAACCAGAAGCCACGGCTGCACCCCCAGACCCGGCGGTCCTGGGAAACCTCAAGGCGTGGGTGGCCCGGCTTCTGCAGAGCTCCCGACTCCTGTCTCTGCACTGTCTGATGGCTCTCCAATTCACCAAGTCACACGTTTAACCCAATAACTCAGGACACTTAGGTCCACCTCAGCTAGAACTGGTGTGAAAATGAATACTTGAAAAGCAGTCTTGAAAAATACTGAAATGAAGCCTCAAAACGTCTCTTCTAATCATAGAGAAAATAGACTCTTAAAAATGACGGTCGCAGGCGTTGCAAAAATAATGCTTTGAGGTCTCTGAAGTTTGAGGTTAATTACCGTATGAAGAAATAACAAAGTAATTTTAAAAAGTTTCATGGGCGCATTAATAAACCATCTGTAAGTTTAATTTCTAAAATATCTTACTTTAAAAATGAATACAATTTAGAAATTGATAAGCTAAGCTTGAGCAAACTAGAAGTTGCTAAGTTCAGATTGAAAAAATAAATTCAAATAGTGACAAGAGGAACCCTGGCAGTCCCCTGTCCTATTTTAGATATGCAAACTACCCAGGTGTTGTTTTGCTCTGCAACACTTTCGGATCCGGGAAAACCACTTGAAAACCACCACTTCAAAAACAGGAGCTATAAATTCACACAGGGTGCTTTTTGGCTTCCTAAAATAGACTCTCAGTGCGACATGCTTCCTGCCACCTGCTGCAGGTGTCCGGCCGGATGCGCGGCCATCTTGGCTGTCACTCATGCACTAATCTGGCATTGCTCAATTAATTAAAAATTAAACTTAAATAATTTTTGTCAAAACTCAGTCCTGTATTGGGGCCTGCTGGTGCCACTCCACTGTTTCTCTGCTGTCTTGTGCCAATCCCAGACAGATACTGAACAATAATAATCTAAAAGTCCTTTACATTAAAAAAACACAAAAAGCTGAATATACATGAACAAAAAGTCTTCATTCTCAATTTTCTCAGCCACTTTTCTCAGAAGCCACTTCGGACACCATGTCCCTGCACACCTGGTGGGCGCCGTCCCAGCACGGTTGGGCTGCCCAGGCCTTGCTAGGTCCCTGTCAGAGGGGCAGCCGCCCTTTGGGGCTCCACGGCCCTCCTTCCTTGATTTGCTCAGAACCGTTCTCTTTCTAACCAGTAAAGAATTCTAACTCCAAGTCAGCACAGAGAACACCTCACAGTTCTAAAGAAAAGGCCCCGCTGTGTGCTCTAGTCTGCACTCCTGTGGTTCTGCAAACATGGCCGGGCACGCGCCTCAGCCAACACCGGCAGTCCCACAACGGGAGCTCCGCGGCCGCCACCCAAGCCATGGGATCCTGGTCTCTTTTGTGTCTTGCCCAGTCTTGGCCGGCAAAATCCAGCCCCTCTTCCAGTGGCTCAGCTAGTCCCACAGACGCGCCGCTGTTATTCCAGTTTTCCAAAGGCACCAGAAACCCCCCTGGCCCTTGTCTCTACCTGGCCTCCCTCCCAGGTCCCCTTTGGGACACATCCTGAAGACCAACCTGTGATGGTCAGAAAAGGCCACAGAAAAGAGGAGAGAATGAAGGCCCCGGAGAGGCCGTTCCTACCTGAAGAGACGGTGACGAGGGTCCCTGGGCCCCAGAGGTCCATGCCGTAGTAATCACAATGGTGGAGCCTCCATCTTCACCCCACACAAACCCCAGTCTCCTGGCCCGGCATTGCTGCCGGCTGCCCAGAGGTCTGCTCTGTCCAGGTCTCAGCTTGCCGCCAATGAAGTCACGATTCTGCACTCTCCCTAGCCGGCCGTCACAGTCCAGCCTGGCCCTCAGAAGCCACGCCACTGCCAGCCTGGGGACCCCAAGTCCCCTTGGGACTCCAGTAGTCTTTGCTTGGGCACCGACCCCAGAAGGTGGGTGCGGCAGGGCCGGCAGTCATAATGGCCCCACAAACCCTCAAGTTGATCAAATAGCCGATACCCCAGAACAGCCAGAGAAGACCCCTGGCCCCGACACCTGTGGCTGAATTTGGGGAACAGGGGAGCAGGAGCCCCAGCCCCTGTTGGTGGGGGAACCTGTCCCCGATCCCTTTCTTGACCTCCCAAAACTCTTCAGCCACTCCGACACTGAGACGCTGACACCCAAAGTCCCCCTTAAGAGAAGTCAGATGGGGCGGACTCACCTGAAGAGACGGTGACCAGGGTGCCCTGGCCCCAGAGATCCAACCAGTCATCACATTGTGATGACCGTGCCAGGACCCCAGGCAAGAACCGGTGCCTGGCCAGGCCTGGGACCCTCTCAGACTGAGCCGCATGAGGGCTGGCATAGTGGAGACCAGAGGACTCCAGAGAGAGCCCCGGTCACAGAGGCAGGAGGAGAGGGGCCGTGGCCCCCAAGGACCCCATCCTGAGCCCCCCAGGCTGCCCCAAGTCATTCTTGGCCTGAGACCCGTCCCGCTCAGTTTGCCCCAAAATGCAGAAAAATCGCTCAGAGTTGAGTAGGAGAGAGAGTTGGCAAGGACTCACCTGAGGAGACGGTGACCAGGGTGCCTGGGCCCCACAAGTTAAAGTAGTCACATTGCTGTAGACACCCTTAGGGGGCGTGCAAAAACCTCACCTGCCAGCCCCTGTGTCTGGCCGGCCACCCCAGAAAGTCTGTGTCGCTGACCACCGCATCCCCAAGCCCAGAGCAAGACGGTCAGCCCAGTCTCAGAGCAGAAAGAGGGAGGACTCACCTGAGGAGACGGTGACCAGGGTGCCCTGGCCCCAGAGATCCAACCGAGTGTCACACTGTGACGACCGTGCCAGGACCCCCGGCAAGAACCGGTGCCTGGCCAGGCCTGGGACCCTCTCAGAGTCAGCTGCATGAGGGCTGGCCTGGAGGAGACCAGAGGACTCCAGAGAGAGCCCCGGTCACAGAGGCAGGAGGAGAGGGGCCGTGGCCCCCAAGGACCCCATCCTGAGCCCCCAGGCTGCCCCGACTTGTCCTTGGCCTGAGACCCAGCACACTCAGTTTGCCCCAAAATGCAGCAAAGGCCCTCAGAGTTGAGTAGGAGAGAGAGTTGGCAAGGACTCACCTGAGGAGACGGTGACCAGGGTGCCTGGGCCCCAGGGATCAAAAGCATCACACAGGGGCACATCCCCTGTTGCTGCCCAGACACAAACCACACCTGTGGCTGCACAGCCCGTGTGCCTGCTCACAGCACACAGACCCAGGGCCCTGGCAGGTGTCCAAGGGTACAGACTCTGGCAGGAGAGGCCTGTGTACCCTCTGGGGATGGACATGGCAGCTGCAGACCCTGGACCCAGGCTAAGCAGACTAAGGGGGCCTGAAGAGGCTTCACCTGAAGAGATGGTGACCAGGGTGCCTGTGCCCCAGGGATCCAGGTACCAGTAGCACAGCCTCTGCCTCCCTCAGTCTCCCTTTATAGCACAGCTCCAGCTCTGGCCCCGGGCCTGGCCCTGGCTCCCACCCTGGCCCTAGCCCCTGCCCCGGCCTTGGCTCCGGCCATAGTCTCTGCATCTGCAGCACAGACAAGGCACCCTGGCCCAGGACTAGAAGGAAAGGCAGGCACCGTGAGCGCCTGCACCCACTGCCTAGACATCTTGGCCAATCTGGGGCCCGGGATTCCTAGGTTGGCCTCTCATTGGCCCCCGGGGTGGGGCCTCCCTGCTCAGTGGAGGTGTCAGCTGAGCCCTCGGGTATCAGCCAGGGCTGTACCTCCAGCCAGTCCAACAGCACTCATTCTCCACTTCTGCCCACCCCACCTCTGTCCAGCCTTCATCTCTGCCCCCACTTCTAGCTCCCTACCTCCAGCTCCCCCACCTCTGCTTCCCCAACCTCTATCCCTTCCATCTCTGCTCCCCACCTCTGCTCTCCCCTGTCTCCGCCACTTCTACTCCACTTTCTACCCTGCTTCTGCCCCATCCTTGCTGCCCCACACCTGAATCCTCCAACCTCTTCCCCCACTTCTGCCCACACCCCTGCACCCACTTCTGCCCCAGGACTCACCTACTGCCCACCTATAAGTTCTCCTCACTTTCCACAGGGCCCAAAGGCCACTTCCCTTCCAGCCTCCTTCGGTCCCTGAAGCTGAGCCCACACTGCTGCCCTGGGCTGTGCTGCAGATGGGAGGCTGGGTTTTCACAGTGTTGAGTCACTGTGGTCCCAGTTAGCACAGAGGCTCCCAGCTCAGCTAAAACCCCTGGGGTTGGGTGTGTGTGGGATCTGGGCCAGCAGAGACCCCACAGCTCGTCAGAACCCATAACCTCGGCTGTCAGTTGTGGCTGTGGCCAGGATTTCCTGAGCCAGTGGCCGTTGAGTCTGTAGACACCCAGTGCGCCTTCTCTCTGGGGCTGGAGAAGGAGGTGTGTGTGCTGCACCATCATTGTCTGGGGCTGGAGGAGGTGTGTGTGCTGCACCGTCGTTGTCTGGGGCTGGAGGAGAAGGAGGAGGTGTGTGTGCTGCACCGTCGTTGTCTTGGGCTGAAGGAGGAGGTGTGTGCTGCACCGTCATTGTCTGGGGCTGGAGAAGGAGGAGGTGTGTGTGCTGCACCGTCGTTGTCTGGGGCTGGAGAAGGAGGAGGTGTGTGTGCTGCACCGTCGTTGTCTGGGGCTGGAGAAGGAGGAGGTGTGTGTGCTGCACCATCGTTGTCTGGGGCTGGAGGAGAAGGAGGTGTGTGTGCTGCACCGTCATTGTCTTGGGCTGAAGGAGGAGGTGTGTGCTGCACCATCGTTGTCTGGGGCTGGAGAAGGAGGAGGTGTGTGTGCTGCACCGTCGTTGTCTGGGGCTGGAGAAGGAGGAGGTGTGTGTGCTGCACCGTCGTTGTCTGGGGCTGGAGAAGGAGGTGTGTGTGCTGCACCGTCATTGTCTTGGGCTGAAGGAGGAGGTGTGTGCTGCACCATCGTTGTCTGGGGCTGGAGAAGGAGGAGGTGTGTGTGCTGCACCGTCGTTGTCTGGGGCTGGAGAAGGAGGAGGTGTGTGTGCTGCACCGTCGTTGTCTGGGGCTGGAGAAGGAGGTGTGTGTGCTGCACCGTCATTGTCTTGGGCTGAAGGAGGAGGTGTGTGCTGCACCATCGTTGTCTGGGGCTGGAGAAGGAGGAGGTGTGTGTGCTGCACCGTCGTTGTCTGGGGCTGGAGAAGGAGGAGGTGTGTGTGCTGCACCGTCGTTGTCTGGGGCTGGAGAAGGAGGAGGTGTGTGTGCTGCACCATCGTTGTCTGGGGCTGGAGGAGGTGTGTGTGCTGCACCGTCGTTGTCTGGGGCTGGAGGAGAAGGAGGAGGTGTGTGCTGCACCGTCGTTGTCTGGGGCTGGAGGAGGAGGAGGTGTGTGCTGCACCGTCATTGTCTGGGGCTGGAGGAGGAGGAGGTGTGTGCTGCACCGTCATTGTCTGGGGCTGGAGGAGGAGGTGTGTGTGCTGCACTGTCGTTGTCTGGGGCTGGAGGAGGAGGAGGAGGTGTGTGCTGCACCGTCGTTGTCTGGGGCTGGAGAAGGAGGAGGTGTGTGTGCTGCACCGTCGTTGTCTGGGGCTGGAGAAGGAGGAGGTGTGTGTGCTGCACCATCATTGTCTGGGGCTGGAGGAGGTGTGTGTGCTGCACCGTCGTTGTCTGGGGCTGGAGGAGAAGGAGGAGGTGTGTGCTGCACCGTCGTTGTCTGGGGCTGGAGGAGGAGGAGGTGTGTGCTGCACCGTCATTGTCTGGGGCTGGAGGAGGAGGAGGTGTGTGCTGCACCGTCATTGTCTGGGGCTGGAGGAGGAGGTGTGTGTGCTGCACCGTCGTTGTCTGGGGCTGGAGGAGGAGGAGGAGGTGTGTGCTGCACCGTCGTTGTCTGGGGCTGTAGGAGAAGGAGGTGTGTGCTCCCTGGCCCCTCTGTGGGGTGGCCTGCAGCTTCTCCCCCCATTCCCTGTCCTCCCTCTCAGTGTCCTCACAGGAAGGCTGGGGCTCTCACTGTGGTGCCCCTGGAGCTCTGGTCCCGGGCCAGGGGTCTCAGTGCTGTCCTGACTGCAGAGCTGGGTCCTGGGGGTGGGCAAGGCTGTCTTCAGGACAGGGCTCCAGCTGACGTTCACAGGGCACTGACGTTCACCACCTGTCAGTCCCTGTGCTGAAGCTCAGCTGTGGGCCCCTAGCAAGGTGCGAGCTCCCACGTGGGGCTGCGGGGGCCAGGAAAATGCTCTCTAGTCCTGCCAAGGGGACCCAGTGCACAGGCCGAGATGCCTGAGGTGGGGGAGCGGGGGCCAACTGCAGGCAGAGAAACAGCCATGGCGAAGCTTCAGAGGCCAGCTCCTGAGCAGTGGAGAGGGAGTGGAGGTGGGGATTTCACGGTGGCCCGAGCGCTTGTGTGAGGGGCTGCAGGAAGCGTGGGGGGATTTCACGGTGGCCCGAGCGCGTGTGCGGGGGGCTGCAGGAAGCATGGGGGGATTTCACGGTGGCCTGAGCGCTTGTGCGAGGGGCTGCAGGAAGCGTGGGGGGATTTCACGGTGGCCCGAGCGCGTGTGCGGGGGGCTGCAGGAAGCGTGGGGGGATTTCACGGTGGCCCGAGCGCTTGTGCGGGGGGCTGCAGGAAGCGTGGGGGGATTTCACGGTGGCCCGAGCGCTTGTGCGAGGGGCTGCAGGAAGCGTGGGGGGATTTCACGGTGGCCCGAGCGCTTGTGCGAGGGGCTGCAGGAAGCGTGGGGGGATTTCACAGTGGCCCGAGTGTTTGTGCGAGGGGCTGCTGGAAGCATGGGGTTGTTCACTTTCACTCTAGGTTTCCTCCAGCATGGTGAGGGCTGGGCGGGGCTGAGGCATCTGGGAGGGAATCCTGATGTGGAGGTAGGGTGACAGCTCCCATGGGGTTCAGGAAGGACAGAGAGACAACGAGCAGTGCTAGGACAGTGGGGTCCCTTGGGAAACGGCTGGACAGTGCTGGACAGCCTGAACGTATGAGTCATGTCCTGGCCCCGGCACTGAGGGAAGGCTGCAGACTTGCTCAAGGGCAGACTGACCCTTCAAGGTGAGCAGAGGCCTGGGTGTGGGGAGAGGATGAAGGACGAAGGAGGAGGGAGGTGGCTTGATGGTCTGAGACCTGGGGGACACAGTGGGGCTGGGGACAGAGCAGGTGGCATGGGCATTGGTCTTAGGGCCTCTTGCCTCCAACCTGGAGACGCTCCCATCTCCCCTGCTGGGGCCCAGCTGCTCTTTGAGACTCGCTGAGCTCCTGGGTCCTTTCCAGAAGGCTCTTCCTCCCGTGGTCTAAGCACTGGGGAACAAGGGGGAGGGGCCACCCCTGCCCTTCCGGAAGCACCTGCTCCTGTGCTGGAGCTGTGGCTCCCGGCGGGGGAGGGAAGGTGCCTCCGCGTCCTGGCCAGCCCTGGCCTTGCCTCTGCACTCGCTGCCTGTGCAGAGTCCTGCTCCCCTCTCGGAGCCCAGCAGGTCCTGTTGGGTCCCTGGGCCTTTGCATAGCCCTCTGAGCCTCCTAGTGTGGGCCCCAGCAACACTGTGTGGGATGTCTTGGCCTAGGGTCCTCCATGTGGGGCCAGCTTTATTCCAACACCTAGGGGCCCAGTTTGGGAA